CCCAACAACACACAATTTGGACCCCTTCGTGTAATTGTGCTTGAAAAAAAAAAAAAAAAAAATAATAACTGTTCAAATGTCCAAACGTTAGATAATGACTAAGGAAGAGTGTAGAACTGATACATTTGAGTTATGGTGTTGGAGGAGAATATTAAAAGTACTACGGACTGTCAAAAAAAACAAACCAATCTATGTTGGAAGAAGTGCAACCAGAGTGCTCCTTGGAAGCCAGGATGATGAGACTTTATCTCTCATACTTCAAACATATCAGAAAGGACCAGTCCCTGAAAAAGGACATCATGTTAGGTCAAACGGAGGGTCAGCAAAACAGAGGAAGACCTCCAATGAGATGGACTGGCACAGGGGCAACAACAATGGGCTCAAACTTAACAAAGATTGTGCGGATGGTGCAGGACTGGGCAGTGTTTCCCTCCGTTGTGCGTAGGGTCGCTATGAGTAGGAAGTGACCAATGGACCAAACAACAACAAAAGAACCACAAGGATCTATTAAATAGAGGTTACTTTTGAGGTGCCTCGACTGCTAACTTAAAGTTTGGTGGTTCCAGCCCACCCAGCAACACCCCAAAAGACAAGTCTGGTGATCTGTTTACATTAGACTGAGTCCACACAACCCTCTGGAGCAGTCCTACTCTGTTTGATTTTTATGAGTCTTTTTGTTTTTGAGGAACAGGGACTGACTTGGCAGAGAGGAGCAGGAGGCTTTCACTTGTCATTGTGGCTCTGTCTGTACTGTTCAGACTTCCTCACCTTGTACATACACTACTTTAATTTGCTTTCTTTAAATGTCAACAGGGCAGTTACCCGGGCACTGAGATTTCGAGCTGCTTTTGGTCCCATTCTATACACTTCACAGCATTTTTAAAGTGAATCAGTGTTACGTTTTAAAAAATACAGAAAGAACCACGACTTCTAGCCTTAGTTCCCTCCACCTTTTAGAAATGTGCACTGAGGGTTTCCCGTGAGTTGGGCTCTGTGCCCAGTGCCTCACTCCTTACAGGCAGGTGCTGGGCGGTACAGCAGAGACGGCTCAAGTCAAATCAGCGGGCATGAACCCCGACTCTATGTCATAATCATGGGACCTTGGACAAGTAACTTCCCTCCCTGAGCCTCAGTTTTTCCATCTGTAAAATGGGAATACGAGAAAGACCCATCTCATTTAAGGTGTTTGGAACATTCACAGAAGTTGTGGGTATAGAATACAGTGCCTGGAACAAACAACATCAAGAAACAGATTATGGACCAAAGTTTAGTAATGCCTACCACATTCTTTCAATGTAAAGAAAACAAAAAATCCTCACCACTGGACCAATAAACAACATTCTTATCAATGGAGAAAAGACTGAAGTTGTCAAGGACTTCATTCTTCTTGGATCAACTATCAACACTCACAGAAGCAGCAGTCAAGAGATCAGACGACGTATTGCATTGGGCAAATCTGCTGCACAGGAATTTTTTTTAAAGTGTTGAAGAGCAGAGATGCCAGCTTGAGGACTAAGGTGCACCTGACCCAAGCCATGGTATTTTCAATCACCTCATATGATGCATGTGAAAGCGGGACAGTGAATCAGGAAGACTGTAGAAGAATTGATGCTTTTGAGTTATGGTGTTGGAGGAGAATATTGAAAGTACCATGGGCTGCCAAAAGAACCAATCCGTGTTGAAAGAAGTGCAGTCAGAGTGCTCCTTGGAGGCCAGGATGGCCAAACTTCATCTCTCATACTTCGGACATATTGTCAGGAGGGACCAGTGGCTGGAGAAGGATATCATGGTAAGATGGAGGGTCAGAGAAAAAGAGGAAGACCCCCAACGAGATGGATTGGTCAAGTGGCAGCATTGATGGATTCAAGCATGGCAACAGTAGTGAGGTTGGCCCAGGATCGGGCAGTGTTTCATTCTGCTGTGTATAAGTCGCTATGGGTCGGTACCGACTCGATGGCACCTAACAAAACAACAACCAGAGATGACGTTCTGGTGTAGCACTGCAGGACAATGCACTGGACCTTACAGTAGTAAGGTCTCTTTGAACCACAAGGTGGGTGGTTCAAATCCACCAGCCACTCCTTGGAAACCCTAGACAGGGTCGCTATGAATCTGAACGGACTCCACAACTCTTAATAACAACAACAACCAGAGATGGGAGGAGCTCTGGTAGCACAGGGGCTTATACATTGGGCTGCTAACCTCAGAGTCAGCAGTTCGAATCTACCAGCTGCTCTGTGGGAGAAAGATAAGGCTTTCTGCTCCTGTAAAGATTTATAGCTTTGGAAAATACCAGTTGTTCTGTGGGAGAAAGATGAGTCTTTCTGATCCCATAAAGATTTACAGCCTCAGAAACCCTGCACAGGGACACTATGTGTTGGAACTGACTCCATGGCACACAACCACCATGAGTTGGAACTGACTGGAAGGCATACAACCACTACCAACCACCACCAGAGGCGGATGGGAGTCAGTTTCAGAAGTGGTGAATTTCTGTCTATGGTGAGGAAAAGGGAAAAGGAGTCTGAGGATACAGGAGATGGTTGTTCACTAAATTAGTATCTTTGGTGTAGCTGAGTTATAAAAAATATTAAATTGGCAAATGTTTTGTTATAGTTTTTAAAAAACCAATGAACAAAACTAACTTATTGTCACCCATCCCCATTTTAGACAGATGAGGAAATGGAGGTCCCAGGTCTCAGAGCCGGTCTGATTCCCAAGCTACCTGCCCCTAACACAAAACTGTCTGCCACAGCTGGGGGCTCCAGCATGGGACTGCACCAAACCCTCCCACGTGCACCTGCCGTCATTCCAGGCCACTCGACACACAGAATCATGCTGGACTGAAGTGGGAGCCCACAGAGACTATGCATTCCATGTCTCCAGGGGACCACTCACAGTGCCCGACCTGCACAGCTGGACACAACAGCCCTGTATATACGGTGGCAGGCACTTCCAACAGTATCTCCCTTCCCATATACTCATTTGCTATGTGACCTTGTCACCCTTCCCATCAAAAGGTAAAGTCTAATTTCCCTTTCTTTTGGACTTGACCTTTGACCGATATACAAAAAGCTGATGCCATCTCCCGGCGACCCCGTGTGGACCAGAGCATACGTGTGCTGCAGAGGGCTTTCAATGGCTGAGTTTTCACAAGTAGGCTACTAGGTCTTTCTTTTGAGAAGCCTCAAGGATAGACTTGAATCGCCACCCAAACGATTACAACCACACTCAGCCCTGGGGCCTCTTGTTGAGGTCTGGCCACAATGCCAGAGGGACCACTCAGAGAGGGAGCCCCGGTCAGTCGTCAGCTGTTCTACTTCTCCACCCTGTGACCAATGTCAGAAGTCCAAGCATTAAGAAGACCTGGCAGTGTCTGCTTTTGACTTCTTGGAAGCTATGTGTCACTAGGTCAAAGTCTGGCTAAGCTTCCGGAAAGACCCTAGAGAAGCCGTGTAACAGGAGAGGCTGAGACTGGAAAGCAAAGCCCAGTCATGCCAGTATCCCTACTGAGCCCAGACCCCAACTGAAAGCAGCCATCACCCAACTACAGAAGAACCAATCAGCTGATGCAAGCAAATAAAGGGCCACTGTCATTTCGAGCTACTAAGGTTTACAAAAATAATCACCATTGGACCAACAAACAACATCCATATAAATGGAGAAAAGACTGAAGTTGTCAAAGACTTCGTTTAGCTAGGATCAACCATCAACACTCATGGAAGCAGCAGTCAAGAAAATTAAATGAAGTATTACATTAGGCAAATCTGCTGCACAAGACCTCTTTCAAATGTTCAAGAGCAAAGACGCAGTTTGAGAACTACGGTGTGCCTTACCCAAGCCATGGTATTTCCAAAAACCTCAGATGTATGTAAGTTCTGGTGTGGCACTGGACTGCAAAGTCAGTTTAAACTGCAAGGTCAGCAGTTCAAGTTCACCAGTCACTCCTTGGAAACCCTATACAGGGTTGCTATGGGTCAGAACCAACTCAACAGCATTTCACAACAACCTATGTATGTGAAAGTTGGACAATGAATAAGAAGAATTGATGCATTTAAATTATGGTATTAGAGGAGAATCTTGAAAGTATCCTGGGCTGCCAAAAGAACAAACAGATCTGTGTTGGAAGAAGTACAGCCAGAGTGCTCCTTGGACCATTCAGAAAGAAAGCCTTGACCAGTTCCCAGATGTTCCACTTCCCCCATCACATCCTCCCACCCAGAGTGAGGTTACGGTTCTCAACTAGCACACAGCAAACCACCTCCAGGAGACAGATCCTGACCCATAGGAGGCTTCCCAAGCAGCTGAACACATGTCCCTGGGCTGGAAAAAGAGAAGGAAGCCAATCTAACAATTTACCTAGAAAACATCCATATATCACCTGTTCTTGAGTCTCCATTTTTTCCACCTCAAAAAACCATTTCTGAAAGTCAAAATACCTGATAGCCTCATACTCCAATCATCCTTATTAAATAACCCAGTATCAGTTTTTAAATCTCCCGGAGAGGTGATGGTTATACAAATCTATGCATGCAATAAAATTTCACAGGACTAAAATCCTGGTGTGCCACTATAGGATCAGCACTGGACTGTGAACCAAAAGGTCGGCAGTTCAAACCCACCAGCCGCTCCTCAGAAATCCTAGACGGGGTCGCTATGAGTTGGAACCTACTCATTGGTACATAACAACAACATACACCAAAAGAAGATGGAAGGACGAGAGACAGAAAGGAGCAGTGACATTTGAATAAGATCCTAATTTAATGATTAGCATTGTATCAATGTCAATTTCCTGGTGTTGATTATAGCTACTGCTGCATTCAACGTTATTGTGGGAAGTCAGATGAAGAATACACAGAACTCTCCAGACTAGTTTTGCAACTTCCTGAGTCTAAAATTATTTCAAAATAAAAATTTTCTTTTCCAAAAACCAATTTTCATGTTAAAATAATCTTTACTTTTTTTTTTTTTTTTCCTAAAGCTCCCAGGAGAAGCCGCCACAAAAAGCCAACTTACCTGAGAACTGGGGATCAGCGCCTTCCACCAGTGCCCACCTTTCACCAGGTCAACCTCGCACAAAGGCACAGAGACCTTGCCAATGACACAATGGCGGGAGAACTTGTCAAAATCCACCACGCTCAGGAGCAGGGTCCTCCTCTGAGCCTCGAGGAAGGGGATCTCGAAGGTGTAGCGCTCCTCAAACACTGGCTTCTGGGTCTTGCGCTTGACCCCTGTCTGCTTCGAGTTCTTCTGGTCCGGCAGGAGACAGATCTTGACGTAGGGGTTTGAGTGGGCCATATCCTGGCGAGAGCCGTCGTAGGAGATGGGGGGTGGCAGGTCCCTCGCTTCGATCACCCTCACTGTAAGGTGGTTGTGTAACAAGTCATACTGGGTGCTGAAGTGTAGCATGCCCAGCTGGTACTTGGACAAGATCTCCTCATCAGTCAGTGAGTCCACGTCATCGCTGCTGGAGTCCAGGGAATACAATCGGGGCTCAAACTTGCGGAAGTAGTCATCTGGGGTGTAGGTCCGTCTCAGCACTGAGGGCTGGATGGGCTCCTTCTTAGCACTGAGAACACCGAACTCCATGGGCTTGATGTCGATGAGTGGGGAGCTTGGACGTCGGGAATCAAGACCTAAACGGTCCCCAGAAACAACCATTAATAACGCCATGGGTGGGGCCAGCAGCATGTCACAGAGTCTCACAAGTTCACTGTACTACACAGTCATGGTGTAGTGAACTATTTAAGACCTCTCTTCTAGCCTTAGTCTTTGTAATTCCCATCAAACGTTTATGCCCTGATGGGTCTGACTAGAAGGTGGGAGAAGATGCTGACGGGATTCTATGGTACAGTTGTGGGTGGTTAAGTGTGATTGTAAAATCCTGGAACTCTAATGAGTATAAAACGAGCCATCTTAGAAGCAGGGGAGGGGAGATATCTCACTACCAACAAAGACAGTGATTCAGGAGTGAAGCACAGCCTTTGGACCCTGATATCCCTGCACACTGAACCCCTTTGATGCAGGGACAGAAAACGGCAACACTGGGGGGAGTGGTAGAGAAACAGCAGCAGCAGCAAAATCAAGAGCCAGAGCACCAGACAAAGCAGTGAGTGGGCTTCCGAGCCCATGGAGCGAGTAAAGCTGAGTGAGTTTGGGCAGGAGGCTTGCTTTCAGAGTGGGATGTCTCCAGGCACTTAATTAGGAGAGTTAAGTTTACTGAACCTCCAAGCTGAGCTGAGTGCCTTCAGGCTGAGTGGTGTGCCCTATGGGCATCTATCAGCTGCCCTGAAAGAGCTTTGTAGCACTGGCTGGACAGAAAGAAGCCTGCCTGTGAGCATGGCTGAGGACAGACTGTCTCAACTGGAAGGACTGTGTCCTGAATATTTCTGCTCCAACATTGTAGCTAACTCCCCTAAGGTTTACTATGACTCTGAATATGATGTGTGAATTCCATGTGGCCAGTGCAATAAATGGAGTCCTGCTGTGGCTATGTGGGTTAATGCGCCAGACTGCAAAGCCGTTTGAATTGCAAGGTCGGCAGTTCAAGCTCACCAGCTGCTCCTTGGAAACAGGGTTGCTATGGGTTGGACTGACTCAACAGCACTTAACAACGACAACAACAAGTGCAATGAATGATGAACCCAGATGAGAAGCAGAGTGTTCTGGGAAGGATGGTTTGGTGCTATTTTTTTAATAGCAGAATTCTTCACCACCTCCTCCCTGTACCCAGAGATGTTCTTGTCTGGTCTGTGAACAAGGCAGGATGACATATTACCCTCACCCTCGCCACCATAATCACAGCTAAATGCCAGGCACTCTCTCTTCTCAGTGCAAGTCCAAGTGGCACAAACAGTTTGCACTTGACTACTAATATGCACTGGACTGCTAACCACAAGGTCGGTGGTTCAAGCCCACCAGCTACTCCTTGGAAATCCTATATAAGGTTGTTGTGAGTTGGAACTGACTTGATGACACTTAACAACTTTGAAGTTGCCACTTCAAATTCACCTGGATGTACTGCCAAAAAGAGGCTGGGCGATTTGCTTCCATTAAGATTACATCCAAGAAAAACCCGATGGCGCAGTCCAACTCTGTCACACACGGGGCTGCCACGAATCGTAATCAACTCAATGGCTACAGGTTTGGTTCTGCTTTTTTTGATTCCAGGTGCGTTGTTGTTGTTAATGTGCCGTCGAGTCAGTTCTGACCCATAGCGACCCTGTATAGGGTTTCCAAGGAGCAACTGGTGAGCTACAACTACCAACCTTGAGGTTCAAACTGACTTTGCAGTGCAGCGCATTAGCAAACAGCACTACACCAGGAGTCCTCTAGGTGCACAGATGAAGACATTTCCTTTTTAGTTCTTGAGGTGTTGGGTAAGGACTATCATCCACATTCTACAGATTAAGAAACTTTAACTTGCCAAAGGTGGCACAGCTAGTAAAGGATGGAGACAGGATTCGAGTTCATCAGATCTGACCTTGAAGTCTGGGCTCTAACTATCATCCCATCCTGCCTCTACCATACCTGGAGCCACATTTGAACTGAATTCCAACCTGGCTATGTAGCAGCCATGTGACCTGGGGCACATTATTTAGACTTTCTGGGACTCCATTTTTCTATTTGTAAAATGGAGTCAACAACAGGATCACATCAGACTGGTGAAGATTCACTAAGCCAATGCATGGAAAGAGCTCAGAATAGAACATGCACCTAGTAAAAACTCAAGAAATGGTAACTATTGGAGTCTCTGGTGGTGCAGATGGTTAACATGCTCAGCTTCTAACCCAAGGCTGAAGGTTCAGATCTACTCAGAGGTACGTTGGAAAGAGGGCCTGGTGATCTACCTCCAAAAATTCAGCCACTAAAAAGCTTGAGGAGCACTGTTGTACTCTGACACACACAGGGTCACCGTGAGTTACAACTGACTTAATACCGATGATATTTTTTATTGTATGTATTTGAGGATCATACTTAAACCTTATCTTTGCGGAGGAACTGCTCTCTTCTCCATCAACCAGCAGAATGAATGGCTCCCAAATCCATCTTTGCTCATCCCTTTCTTCTAGAAATGAGCTTATTATTAATTGTCCAAAAATCCATTTAACTGCTAAAATCATAAATGCATGGTACAAGTGAAGGACTGTAATTGCTAAATGGGAACAAATCATCAGTGTTTTGAGCAGGGTGCAATCCTTAGACATTGCCTAGATCAGTACTATCCAAAAGAAATATAATTCAAGCTAGAAATGCAAGCGACAACTGCAATTCAAATTCTTAGTCATTTTTTAAAGGCAAAAAGCAGTAGATGAGATTGATTTATTTTTAACAATATCCTTGCTTTAGCACGATATATCCCAAAGCTCACACAACTCGTAAGTGATGGAGCTGCCACCGCTCCCGGATCTTGTCCTACATGTTTATATCCTTGTTTATGCTAGATTAAAGATCCTCCCTCCCCTGTGAGTCATTCCAATGGATTATCGCATCTGAGAAATTGACAAGGGCCCGGTACCTGCTGCCGTAGTCCCAGGTGGTTAGGGATAAGTGAGCAAGGGCTGTGTGGTGCTTTGATCAGGGTTTATGAACAGACACAACCTGCCTAGCCCCCAAAGACATCTGAGTCTGTAACTCTGGCTGTATAATAAAGTAGCACTGGCCTTTCTGGGGCTGAAACTATATATGCTGAGCACATTGATCAGACCTCTTCAATCACTGTGGTGATCAATTCAAATAATCCATCAAAACCATCGCCTCTGAATGATGCCGGCAGCAATCGGGTGCCGCATTCTGATTACTGATCACTGTCGCTCCGTCACCCTGGTCTCTTGGATTGTCTCCCCTCTCTCTCCCCCCTCCCCAGCACAGCTGCCCTTCCCGTTTCTTCTTGGGGGTGCTGTGAAGTGTCTGGGAAAGTCAACTGTCTTCATTTCCCCTGGCGACCCAGCTCCTGGGGTTTTGATTCACTGACACTAGATAAGGGCTTGAGCCAGGACACCCCCACCACCCCAAGTCCTGGTGGAGATGCTTACTGGAAATCCGCCGCGTCAGGCTGTATGTGGACTTGGACGTGTCTGATGAAGAGCGTCTCCCATCCGGGGAGTTGGTGCGTGGGGTCAGCGGGATGTCGCTGGCTGTGTGGACAGAGTCTCCATCCTTGTCACTGCTGCGGCTGGCCATCCTATAGGAGGGGAAGAAGTCTCAGTGGTACCCAGGGACTTCCGCCCCCCCAAAGGTTCCGGGGAACCAGCTCTCAGACTCATTTTAGGCAACTTGCTATACCGAAAATCTGAGCTCATGTGAAACCTAAAATGACTGTCTTGCTTTGCAAACAGAATGTGGAAGGATGTGAATAAAGACGTCGATTCAGAACAATCTCAGGATTTGCAGTTTCAAAGCTGGGACTGGTAGGTGGTTGTTTAGGTGCCACAGAGTCGGTTCTGACTCATAGCAACCCAACAAACAACAGAACAAAACACATTCTCGTCCTGGGCCATCCTCACAATCGTTCCTATGTTTGAACCCATGGTTGTGCCAATCCAGCTCATTGAGGGCCTTCCTCTTTTCCGCTATTCAGGCTCTCGCCACAGGGTGGCGCCCCACTGGCTGATGAAGACTGGACTCCTGTCCCTCTCCAGTGCACCAGGTGGCTGTGTCTATGCAGGGAAACGTGACGGTTGTTCTGCTATTTCAGCAGTCACTGCGTCTATAATTTAACATTGTTTAAAAATATCTTCTAACAATGTCACTCAAGGGCTCTTTGAGTGGCAGATCTGTGGTCATAAACATGAACCTGGATCCTCAATGATCTAAGAACACAAGTTCCATGTGATAAAACAGCGATGAATTAGCAGCAGCCATGATTCACCGGAAGAGTGCTGCTGTGATGGTCAGGAATAAGCACTGGACTGCTCCTCCCAAGGACGGCTTTCTGCTCCCGTAATGATTTACAGCCTCGGAAACCCTAAGCAGGGCCGCTAATAAGTCTGAATTAGCTCACTGGCAGTGGGGTTGAGTCTGGAGTTTGATGACTCAATGGCTCTCAGTGAGGATGGAATAGCTGCATGGGAGCTGGGGTGGGGGCATTCAGGGAGGGGAACAAAATAAAATGGTGATGAAGAGCACAGGAGGGTCGGGGGGCATGAATGGTCAAGCGCTTCACTACTAGCCTGAAGGCTGGTGGTTCAAACCCACCTTGAGCTGCCTGGTGACCTGCGTCCACAAGGTCAGATTCCTCTGCACACATGGGGTGACCAGGAGTTGGAACTGATCTGACAGCAAGCGACAATAATAAGAGCACAGGCTCTGGGTTTGAGCCATGTCTTTGTGGACAGGGCATTTAAACAAACTCACCTGAGTGAATATATCCGCGGTGGAAACACAAGGGATCACACCAGAATGAACTGGTTCAAAAGCCTGATTGGAACCCTAGCTGGGTGGTCTTGGGCAAGTCTATTCTGACTCACAGCAATCCTAAAGGACAGAAGGTTTCCGAGGATGTAAATATTTGTGGGAGCAGGGAAATGCCAGAGACTCATCTTTCTCCTGTAAAGCATCTGGTGGGTTTGAACTGCCGACCTTGTGGTTAGCCACCCAACACTTAGTGAAGATAATAGTAGCCGCTGGATATGGTTGCTGTGGACACTCGATCAGCTAACACAAAAAATGCTTAGTACACAGTAGGTAGGCAAGCAATGTCACAGATGTCATTATTAAACAGGATTGGCTTTAGCGACCCCACCCCCAATCCCTCAATCCTTGACTTGCAATATTGAAGGATTCTATGGTGTGTACAATAGCACTGGACCAAAAGGTCAGTTTGAATCCAAAGTCAAAGCTACCAGCTGCTCCTCGGAAACCCTATACAGGGTCACTATGAGTCAGAATCAACTTGATGGAACTTAACAACAACATGGGCAACATATTGAATGATGCAGAAAGCATCAAAAGAACATAGAAGGTATACACAGAATCACCATACCAAAAAAAAAAAGTCAATGTTCAACCATTTCAAGAGGTAGCGTATGATGGCCCTGAAGGAAGAAGTCCAAGCTGCACTGAAGACATTAGTAAAAAACCAACGCTGCAGTAATTGACAAAGTACAGATTGAAATCTTTCAACAAACTGATACAGCCTTGGAGGCACTCACTCATCTATGCCAATAAATTTGGATTACAACTACCTGGCCAACCAATTGGAAGATATCCATATTTGTGCCCATTCCAAAGAAAGGTTACCCAAAGGAATGCAGAAATCATCAAACAATATCATTAATAGCACAAGCAAGTAAAATTTTGTGAAGAGAATTAAAATTTTGTGAAGAGAATTAAAAAGGGAGAGGGGAGAACAAACAAAAATGGCGGATCGGGTGGAAATCCAGTACGGAGCTAGGTCAACAACAACACAGAATATCCGACCAAGCAGCCTCAGGGGATGGTCCCAGAACTCTGAACCACATATAAAGGAATACTTAGAAGGTTGAAAGGCTTACAGCTGGGGGAATTTGTGGCAGAAGAAAGAAATCCATTGCTTTCTAGTTCGGGACGCTCGGCTGTTCCAGGAGCCGCCATCTTGGGTGAGACCAAGCGAGGGAAGGATCGGAGCGGCCACAGACACCTGGCAGAACCGCGGAGATAAAGGTGTGGACATTCTTTTCTTTTGGTGTCTGTTCATTGGTCCCTTACTGTCAGCGCACCTCAATTCTGGTGACTATAGGGGTGCCTGAGCTAGAGGACACCCCAGCCCCAACCTCGGAGGGTTCTACTATGCATGCGCACAGATCTCCTAGAAATTTAAAGAGACAGTTTCCAATTAAAACCAAACGGCCACAGCCGGTCCTGAGCTGTTTAGAACTAGAAAAAAAGGCCTGAACGGGGATTGTGGAGCGGGACAGGCAGACAAAAAAGGAAATAGGCCAAAAATTAAATCCTAAGTTACGTCAAA